CTGTAGGTGAATAGAACACACAAGACTGTATTTCCTTTGCAGTGGTAAACTTTTCGTTGATTAATATTTTAGATGTGATTAAAAAGAAAATTTCACTATTTCTGCTACGTTTTGGGTTATTAGTTTTGGTCAAAAAAGCAGCAGATTACAGTAATACAGTAAATTTTTAAAAAAAACTTTCTTACACTTGATGACGAAACTGGATTCATTTGAAATAAGTAGGCGTGATGAAAACTGGCACAGTGAAATATTAGCGAAATTATAAAATAACAGTCACCAAAGACAACCATTCAGATTGTCTTCAAGGCAACCAATCGAATCACTGGTTATTAAAGCAGCTTATATTTTCAGTTCAGAGGTTATTGATGATCTGGTCTCCCCAGTTTTGTTAGGCTTAGTATTAGAGTGGGTTTAAGGTTTAGGGGAACTATCCTATACGGTTGATATTGTGGAATTCTGCTGAAATATTCAATTCCTAATTTTGAAGCTTCTGACTAGATAATACAGCAGTTGGAACAACATGGAAGACTGCTTTCAACAAAGAGGGAACCATGCAAACGGAAAAAACAGTGGATGAGATGATATTTACGCAGATAACTAGTAAAAGATTGAAAATGCCATCCAATGTTATGCGTATATATATATTGGGTGTGTCTCATAAACACTTTTTAAGTCATACTACATTTGCATATCTTCTGGCAATAGAAGCCTTAGACTATGCGAAAATAATGGGCGATGCAGTTATGGATAATATCTACTACTTTGATATTAGTAACAAATATACTGACTTATTATTAATACCATTTTAAGTTAACATTGGAGTTAGTTTGGTTGATCTTATGGCTTCAGTGACAAATTATTAGGCCAAATGATAATAATTCTGACAGAAATTTATCCAGCTTAACTCTAGAAAGATGAAGGATGTACCAGATCTGAAGGAAAACTCTTTTAGGGTTTCGGTTTTCTGAAGATTTGATGTGTTTAAATCTCCTCTTTTATGCACTCTGTTTTCTGAAATTCCATCAGTCTAATTAAAAATAAATCCGGTAGTAATTTGATGGATGAGTAGATGATAGTTGTTGCAAGCTGCTGAACAGCATTCAAATCATATTTACCATCACTATTAATGACAGTACCACTGATATACCTTTTGAACTGAGTTGAGGCAAACAGGATATACTGCTGATGAGCTCGGCCCTAGACGAGCCAAATGACTAGTGTTTTGATCACTTCGATGCGCCTAACGAGCACTATTGGTTGATGTGAGTGCTACTCAAATACTCATATGAATTAATCAAAAGTATATAGCATCATATCTTTTGTATCGATGATAACTATCCACCATTGGGTACAGTGGGCCACTTTCCAAACTCGTTATAAAACAATCCAAAAGTGTATTGGACATAACAGTGATTCCAAGGCTGTGCCACTGTACTATCTGAACATCATGTCGTCGAGTGTAAATTAGACATCTTAGGCATATGTATGCGGTGGCTCTTTTAGTGTGCAATTTTTTATCTTCCACACAGGTAACAAATTGTTTATGCAAGTGGAAAAGCTTGAGAAAACTTATATCATGCGGTCATTATATACACACTGTTCCCTAAGTAATACAGTCCAAGAGACACTGTGGAGATTAATAAAAGCTTTTTTAAAAGTACGTATGGACATTTTGGCATGAACACCGTTTTGGACACCATTTAATAAGTTTTCTGAATGTCTACCTCAATAAGGTTCAGTGACTTTAAAATGTTTTGTATTGATCGGTCATTAACTAAATACATCTCGTCAGCGAGAAAATAGATACATCACATAACCTGAACAACTTGTGAAGGCCGGCTTTGCTTTAAAAAGTTTGGCCATCATATTTTTGCCTGAACTCTGCATCTGATAATAAAGCCGTCTGTGTTTGAACAAAGTAGAAAAATGCAAGACACCCTGAATTTAGTTTTAGTTAGTTACATATTTGAACCAACCCAGTTTTTACAGTTTACCACTATTCCATTACTTATAGAATCAATTGGAAGGAGCTGACCTTATAGTGTTATCGATTTTCCCATTATTCTGACAAACTTACATCTATGCAGCTTTGATTGTTGTTGTTAAGTAGACTCTTAAAATTCTGATTTTGACATTAAACTATGAGAGTCAATTATCATGAGGACATTTTTCTTGAACTAACTTTTGCATGTCTTCTTTTTTTGTTTCAGTAGTCAAATTCTCAATTGTGACATTTTTTTGTGCCTCGTTTCGTATCGAAGTAGGCAACTTGATGAATAAGCCAATTAGGTCACTGCTGACCTTAATTTAAAAATGGGTTTATAAATATGAATTGACTGTCAGGCTGTCTTTTACTGCCGGACGAAGTATATCAGTCCCCAATAAGATGGTATTTTAACATTTTGCCGCACGACACTGACTATAACGAGAAAGAAATTAAAATCTGTTCACTTCGCAAACTGTTCACCACAAAAATGTATCATATAGTTATGTTTAGTGACTGATTCATTAAGCAGTATTAGTGTAGAAATTTTAAAGAGTTCGTTTGTAGGGATTCTGATTTATTTCAATCTTGAGCACGGATTGATATTAGTTCGAAAACTATTGAGAACCAGGGAGTACTGGACAGCCACAGCTTGAATTGTAACCAGAAGATGTTGGGTTCGAACCCCAGTGGGTGCGTTCTGCCAATGAGTCCCGAAATAGGACGAAATAGCTGTCCAGTACTCCCTGGTTCCCAGTGCTGCTCGAACTGATATCAGTCTGTCGTCAAACTTAGTGCAGAAATGTTGTCACCTCTTTTAGGGGTAGTAGATCATTGCGTAAACTATGGATACTCTGTTAATGTAGAAAAATCAGTGAATTTAAGTAATTTCTTTATTTCTTTTGCCATGAATATCTGTTCAACAACCCTTGTATGATATTAAAATAGCACATTGATAGAAACAACTCCTATCCTATCACTCTCAGATATTGGTCGTCTTATCAGCGGCATGATCCGTAGAAATAAAATTTTCAAAATAACTATTTTCAAGTATTGGTTTTGTAGGGAATTTTGTTTGATTAGTTGGAGGATTTCATCATGAGCTGACATCAGTTGGAGAACCACTGGAAAACCTGGGAGAACTGGACAGTTGTTTCGTCCTAGTTTGGGACTCTTCAAAGTGGATAATGGTCAAGCTTTGTTATATATCTAAAGAGTGAGAAGAGGCTTAGAAACTATGGCGCTGTAGATTTGATAATGCTTGACAAGTCTTAAGAGTTCAAGAGTTCTTAACCAATACGGAACGCCTATCCTATGTTCTTTGAGTTGCAGTGATCATTTTATTTAACCTCAGTGCATGATGATACAAATAAAACATTGAAATGGACCAACTTTACACAATCATTCTACTTATCTTATTCAGTGTTTATGTGATTTTAGGGTCTGAAATATTTCTATTTCATAAACTAAAAGTCTGTTTGAACGAAGAGTATTCTGCTCAGGAAATTCTTTTCAGGTTCTTCTAGTTGTAAAACAAAATTCTTTATCAATATAATAGACAAGTATCCCAGGGATACGTTTCAACGTATAATATGATTATGGGTTTAAAGCCAGAGAAGAGTTTCAAGTTGTAAGGTGACAGTGTAACGGCAGAAGGCAAGACACGAAAGCCAAGGTATACTTTTCATTGATTTAACCTCTGTTTATATATATATATATATATATACTTTATCTTCCTTAACCAATCACTGAGCTTGTGATTTTGGCTTACATTAAACGTTATGAAATAGAGTGTTAAGATGTACATAGCATTCTGTTGCCAATGCCGTATTGAACTGTGGGAATATATGAGAATAATATTCCGTTGGAACACACTGTCCGTATCACACCACCACAACAGCATAAATTATATTTCTATGATAAACTTGATCAGCCGAATGCATCAAAGCCTGTATTAGCATCTCTTTGATCAGCAGTGTTTGCTAGGTATGACAGGATTGAGTTTTTATGGATTAATCTTCACCTTGTTTAAAGCAATCTGGAAAATGAATCATTTGGCACATATCATTTGAACTTTTCCTCTAGATCAAGCTGTGAATAGGGCAGTTTTGTATACAGAATTAAGAACAGCTGATTTCCGTTCTGAATCGCTTCCTTCTCTGGTGTTAGCTGGACAGGTTGTGCAGAGAATATGCAAAATAAACTCACATCCAAGAGTTACCACTAGTTAGTATTGATAGGAAAAAAACCAGTCGATTCTCATTTCATTGGATGAACTTACGACCATTTAGTGATCAGGATGGCAAAGCAGGTATACTTAAATCATATTTAAGTATTATATACTTGAATAAAATAATACGATTATATAGGCTGAAGGAATGTGTTAAAACTCTTCATTTTTTACACAGTCATTATGGCAACGTTTGATTATCAGTAGTTACTGAACTACTTTTCTATTCCTTGCTTTCTGAATAGAACCATAGGGCTTTAAGCTTTGAAGTTTCACGAGCTTTGGTGTTGCTTTTACACAATGCGTTCGCTAGCCTCATACACAGGATTGTCTCTTTTTGAGCAGGTACACTAGGCGAAATTCACGAGTATGTCTGTTAGTCAGTCGACCCACGCGACGTATGTGGTCGGCGAGCATTATACCATAGAAGTACTGACGCACTACTTAACTGCCATCAGTTTCCCCACTTTTTTTGTCAACCTTTTTGCTGCTTTTAGATAAACGCCTAAGTATTTTATTTCATATCTAATAAAATTATGAAACGAAAGCTGATTTGGCAGTTATTAGGAAGATAAGCTTAAGACAGAAGGTAGACTAACTCAGACCGTTGTAGCATGTTTATTAAAGGCAATGAACCTATGAAATACTGAAGTATACATTCAATAACCACGTGGTTCTATGTCTATTATTCTGTATAATCTATGTGCCTAGTGATGCAATTTTAAAATATTTCATTACTGAAATTCATGAATACTTATTTTCATTTTTGTTTCTTTTAATATTTAGTTTCACATAGAAGTTCGACTAGCTGGTGTTAATCAGACACTTCTTGGACGTCCATTAATTATTGCACACGAACCGAATAGTTTTCCGTTTGATAATTTTGGTCGTTATCTTTATGAATTTATAAATCCTGGATCATTAGTGAATATATTCTACAGTAAAAGTATTACAAAACGCTTAAATACTCGAAAAAATCCATGCACTTCAAAGTCAATTAATTTATTAGGCAATTATTTTGATTATGATCAGGTGAGCTGATATAATGCCTTATGACAGTATTTTGTATTCATTTTCGATTTGTTTATGAGTTCAATTTAAAGAGTTACTTTACGTATGCATTTTCTTTTAATTCCTTTACGTTCCTAGTGGAATATAGGCTTCCACCAGGGCTTCAAGGTAGAGGCTTGAAGTTTCGGTAGCAGTGGTATTTATTTTTACGGGATGGGGCTGCTAGCCTCATGCCCAACCTTCCCGCTTTACCAGTCTTAATACTGGCTTAGCGAGGTAAAAGAGTGCGTTGGCTGGGGACCGAACCCCGGACAACATGCGTAGTCTGTGAATTTCTACCGCTGTGCCACTGACTCATTTACCTATGCATGTCTTTATTAAGTGCACTAATGTAGCATACATCAATGTTATTTGGTTGATGGTGACTAGCAGTGGAATATAGAACTAGCGATTCATCCATTTTATGATTCTTCAGCTAGGTATACCTTCATCCTGTTGAGTAATGATGTTCCCATTGAGATTTGAGCACAGCACCTGCCGTTTCAAATGCCGAGGTGATATCCAGTCGCCTAGTGGACAATCCCAAGTCATCGTCGATATATCTGTACTAGCATATGATATACCAACGAAGATCGAATATTTCGACTCAATAAAATCAGTCGACGTGAAATTTAAAACAATAATTTTAACCAACAAATATGGAATTTAACAACTTGGATACATTTTTAACAATTCAGTAATCTTTAAAATCAGTATCGACTGTCCAACAAACTTCCAGTTCAGATTAAATGTCTACAAATCAACGTCAATAATGCTAAAGACGAAAAGATTAAGCGAAATTGTCGCTTAATGATAACAAGTGAAGCTGATGTGGTCCTAACTAAATATATTAATCGAAACCTACTTACGAGGAGTGCAGTGTGACCAATACGATAAAAAGACTCTGCATTCCTGTGCATATTGTTGCACTTCAACTTGATTTTAAATTTATAGGAAGTCATTTGTTAGCAAGCTTGAACCCAGGTATTGTAACCGGTTTGAACTGATTGTATTATTGTAGTGCAGCTGATTGCTTATTTGATAGTTAAGACCAAAAATGATGGACTGATATTAGTTGGGCTAACTATCACACATGATGATGGTTGCTCATGGAAAAATGTATTGTTTATAGAAGCTCGTGCTAACATAATATCACAACACAGAACAGCTGTTTAGAGACGCATGCATTATGTATCTTTTAATATAGTTCAATAAAAACTATCTGTTAGGTAACAAATCACCAAGCAAAGACAGTCGAGAAGTCCTAAGACAACCAAATAAATCCCAGTAATAAATGTGAGGCTGTGTTTCTGTTTTTTCTATGACACTGTTTCTCCTGCTTGTTAGCAGGAAAGCGTGTATTCAACTCTTGGAAAACTCATTTGTCGTCCATAATGAGAATCTTTGCTCTAACAGTCCAGAGTAAAGACATCAACTACAACAGTCTTTTCAAGGTTTGAAAGCTGTAAAGAATGCACACTGGAATTTATTATCACAAAGTAACTCCTCAGGATATTTTACTAATTATTAAATTTACACTACATATCGTGTAAGCTATTGCAAGATGTATTTCAAAGGTTTAATTGGGAAAACTACACACACCTAACTCCATTAATTACATTCTAGTTCACCTGCTTCCGTGCATTGAGGTATACCAACCATACCTGCTTACTCACTTATTCAGAAGCAGGTGTTGGTATAACTGGCGGCTAACTCACCGACATTGACTTTTCACATTTTTACGCGACATTTTATCGTTATCGCTTTGGTAAAGAACTTCATATTCCATGGGAGAAGTTTAACTACACTATCTGTTGGAATTATGTGTTTTTTACCGTGTAACTTTATTTGGTCATTCAGCTGTTTTAAATACCAGTCATCCTTTTTAGTGAATTTGTCAGGGTCTTTTTTAACTCGTATTTCGTACACCAGATTTATATCCTCTGCTTGGATAAAAGTGGCTGCTCTCAATTGATGCATAATTTCGAGTATGGAACTTCTGAGCACTTCTCCGGTTCCTTTCCCTAACCATTTTGGATAATCCCCAAGGAGGCAACAGTTGTCTTACAGAGTCGTCTTACTTATATAGCTGTCTGAACAAGGGCAGTTACATTTCTAAATGCATACTGAAAACACCAGGCTTGTTGAATTATCCTTTACCTGCACTGGAAATATAGAGCCAGTGGTGAATTTTAAACTTAGCCAAAACATTATATGCAGCAATACTGTTACATTTCATACTAATTCATTAGCCATATCTGCTTCGAATGATTAGGTTTCTCTTGTTGTGACTGTGGAAGTATGAAGATTCTTAAAGTTTTGAATCAAAAAAATCTTCGTCAGATGAATAGACCAGATATCAGAAATTTAATTCGCCAATTTAAATGGCTGCACACCATCCACGATGAAGCATCGGTCGGTTATAAGCACAGAAAAGAGGAAAAGTTGAGCTTATAGATGGTAACCCCACTTCTACAAACAATACCATTGCAGCCAAGGCTTCGAAAAAAGCTTATAGCCCTATGTTCCATTTGGAACTCAAACGAGAGAAAAATAAGACAATAAAACAGAATTAGGTAACTGCAGTCAGTAATCCTTATCTGTTGGGCGAAATTTGTCCTGGTCTAGATCTAAAGGTTATAAAATGTCAGACCTATTGATATTTTATTGATTTAGTGATAGATCTTATCACTAACCGACATCAACTAAAGAACTAAGAAGTCCATGTGAGGTGTTTCATCTTAACTTCCGCACGCAGTAATAAAAAGACTGAAAAAAACAACCACTCTCACTGAGTTTTTAACTAACTGCAATTTTTACAGACGTCTTCATTGAGTTATGACTATTATCGTTATTTTGACTTATCAATGAAAACATCAAACATTCGTTTCATTTTAGCAATCATTTAATGTTTTTATTTCATAAAAATATCCCCTTTCATGTGATTTCAACTTTAATCCAATGAAAAGAAATACAATTATAAATGAATGTGAAGCATGTTCACACGTCAATTGATTCTTCTGACAGTATAATTTTTATTATAGTTGATTCATATTCTGATCACGTTTGTTTCTGTCAGGAGTATTTCCATTACTTCTTCAGTATGCAGGCTTTACACTGATTCTACGATTAGCTTGGAAATTTGGGAAATAAACTGTAGTACATTAGTTGATATTCTTTTTGTTAAAGACATCCGAGGAGGACATGCAACCATTAGTAATTGAAATTCACACAGACCTATTTGTACTGAATTAACATACACGTAGCACTTTTTATATATATTATTTTGGATTATGTACCATACAAAACTGTTATTTATTTGTATTCTGTAGATCACGTGCCAATGGCATACTGTCTGTGCGAAATACAACCAAAAATGTGATTGTACTTGTCCATTGGAATTACTTCGTCTTCGTTTAAATCGTGAAATGAAAAGTAGAACATGGAATCAATCATTACCTTCAAACTATATTATTTCTAATAACCAGACAAATTACAAAAATTGTCCACTTAAATGTCCTACCGATATTCCTATAGCTTTTGTTAATAATTCTGTATGTCCATTAGCATGTCGTACAGTAACTTATAAAAAGTTAAATGAAGTCTTAGATAATATTACTGATCGTTCAACCGTTCAACTGGAATTAATTCAAGCCGAAGGTCTAACTGAAATGACTGAAGAAGCTTTATATTCACTGCCTAAATTATTTAGTGAAATTGGTGGTCTAAGTTCATTCTGTTTTGGATTCAGTTGTATTCTATTTTTTGAACTAATTGAATTGGTTTTTTGGTTAAGATGTACCTTTTGTTCAAAGTTTATTGAACGCGTAAAGGAAATATTAGGCCAACAAATAGAAATTACTGATGATACTAATAAATTTATTAAAAATAATGATAACAATACAAGTAAAATATTTTCAACAGAAAAAGAATCACAAAAACATGAAGATATGATTTATAATGATAATGATAATAGTAAAATAAACTCAAACAAATCAAAACAACAAAGGAAGCGATCACTTAAAGCAAGTGCATTTTCTTCTAAATGTCTGTCTAGTAATCCATTAAAAGTCAAGTCAAATAAACATTCAACAACAACAACAACATGTAATCCAACCCGGTTGAAACACACTACATCACATCATATCGATTTGAATCCACTGAACACGCATAAAGTTGACGGTTCACGTTTAAGTGAATACCCTAAAGATCAAGATAGCCCGTTAATTGGCTTGAAGTCAATTAAACACTCACTTTTAGACGATCCTACCTTGGGGAAGAACTTAAACTCTTCCAGTTTAACTCAGTATCCAATCAATTCACCTACTGTCAGTGCTTCAGTTCCGATCTCCACAGTTCCGGTTATTTTGAATAATCATTTATTTCAAGTTGTTGTAGACTACGAGATATCTTAGCTTCTGTTTAACGGTTATCAATGTAGAAATATATCCATGCATTATTACGATAACATTTATTTTTTTGAAAATCATGTGAATATATAAGCACATACATTTCATTACAAAATAAATGTATTTCCTGTAGTCATAATGTTTTTGTTTAATTCAATATTAACAGAAAGTCAGTTTATTTAGTTAGGCAGATGATTATTTTGAATAGTAGCAATGAAATGGACAAAACGAAAACATGCATATTTAATGAAAGACAACCCATGATAATTTATGGTTCTGTCTTTTCTATCTGAATTTTTGACATGTCAAGGGGTTACTTGTAAACTGAATTAGTTCCGAAGGTATAGCGTAAATCTATCTAAAAAAACTGACGTGTAATGACATCCAGCTGTTTATGTAAATACTTTATTGTAACTAGAACCTTTCGAAATTTGTTTACCCTATTGTTTATAACACGTTAGCATTATAGCATATTTCTATGTCTCCGATTCGAAACATGAACGTAATTTCTGAATCATTAGCGAAAACCATTTCTTCACTTGTAATCTGTCATATTCTGTAAAATCTAAACACAGTTTGCACTGAATATCTCATTATATCAACAGATGTTGGATGTTCATTCGGCTGATTCCAAACACCATTGAGTTTGATCGTTTCCACAGCACTGAAAATAACCAATTTCATTTTCCGCTTTACAGTGCTTTATCGTGTTACTTTTAAATTTTCAGTAATAAGATTAGATTCATACAATTTTATGAGTTATAAATTAAGAGGCATTAAAAGTTATGCTTGATCACATCATGTTCAACAGAATGAAGTAAAATAATTTACCCTTTACAATTAGTTATTCTTTAGTTGACCAAAAAGTAGGAGTGCATTAATTTTTATTGAAAACTGGCCAGATTTATGGGAATGAGACTACGATGCTGGATTAACCAATCTTTTAAGAGAAACCTCGTTTCAATTAATTTCTCAGACAGGAAAACATGAGAAGTTTAGCATAAGAATGAATTGGCCTAATTTTCCACCCACCATATATATATATATATATATATATACATATATATATAATCTCGATTCATCTACTTTCTGAATATTGTTATTATATTAATGTTTCCTTTAATTCCTAGAGGAACAGAGGGCTTCAGCCGCATTTCTCCATTGCGTTCCGTTCTCCGCCAACGTTTCCATCTGGTCACACGTCTGCCCACATGCTTTCATCCCCTCTTCACATGACCTCCTCCACGTCAACCTCGCACTGACAACCAACTTGCCGCTTCCCATTTGGCTTTCACTCGAGCAATGGTCTGGCGTGTGATGTCACTTGATGGATTTTTCAGAGTATGTCTAATCCACCTCCATTTCTTCCTGTATAATTGTTGCAGGTTGGTTGTTTCGCTCACAGAGATACTTGTTCCTGATCTGCTCTGGCCGTCTGATCTTGAGTATTTAGAGAAGACAGCTGTTGAAATTCTGATGAAAGTCTGTAGTTAGTTCAAAGTGCCATCTGTGAAGCGCAAAGTCTCTGATCCGTATAGTAGCACCGACTTTACATTGGAGTTAGAAATCCGCATCTTATTTTTCATGCTGAGTGATGTTGTTCTCCACACAGACTTGAGAGAAATGAAAGCTTGCCTTGCTTTCCCTATCCTCGCTTTGATATTCCCATAAGTTCAGTCCTCCTGTAGTTTAAACGATGCTTCCCAGGTCAGGAGGTAGGTAAAGTAGGTTGCTTCTCTCAAATTTCTCCCACTTATGCTGGTTATTGTCTGTTGTTGTTGCTGTTGCCGTTGGCCAGGAATCTTCATCACCTCTGTTCTGTTCACCTGAGGTCCTATCTTCTCTGGATACTTCTTCTGCCAACTTGTTGCTTTTCACTTGCAAATCTTCCAGTTTGTGGGAAATCAGACATACATCATCGGCGAAATCCATATCCTCCAAGTTTTTTGTGCGAGTTCATTTTGTGCCTGTTTCCTCACTGCCCGCTGTCTGTCGCATTATCCAGTCTACCACAATCGGGAAAGTCATTGGACATAGTAGACAGCCAACTTGTCTTACTCCCGTCTTCACTTCTTTGAAGGATTCTGTGAGTTTCCCGTTATGGATTACTTGGCATGCAGCATTGTCGTACAACTGTTGGATGAGATGTATGACTGTTGGTGGTACCCCGTAGTAGCAGAGTAGTTGCCAAATCACATCTCGATCGACGCTGTCGAATGCCTTTCCAAAGTCGATGAAGTTGAAATAGAGAGGTTACTGCCACTCCAAGCTCTGTTCAATGATGGTCCGTAGTGTTGCGATTTGATCGATGCATGACTTGTTTCTCTTGAATCCAGCCTGTTCCGGTCGAAGTGTTTCATTCACGGCCTGTTCGATTCTCCACAGGATGATGTGGCTTAGTATTTTGCTTGGGATAGACAGGAGCATGATGCCGCGCCAGTTCTTGCATTGACTTAAGTCCCCTTTCTTTGGCAGTTTGAATAGGTAGCCCTTCTTCCAATCCGCAGGTACCTTGCATTCTTCCCACACCTTCTTCAGTAGTAGTGTCATCAAGTCCACTGATGTCTCTGGGTTCATTTTCAATGCTTCTGTTGGGATTCCGTCTGGTCTTGCTGATTTTCCAATTTTAAGCATCTTTATGGCCTTCAGGATTTCTACTCTCTTCGGAGGGTTGATGTCCACTGGTAGTTCTGCTTCCGCTGCTGGTATTATTGGGCGCTTTGCAGGCGGCGGTTGGTTTAGAAGTCTTTCGAAGTGTTCAGCCCAGTGTTTCCTTTGTTCCACCTCTCTGGTGATCGACTTCCCATTGTCATCCTCCAATGGCTTAATTTTTGTTGAACTTTTCCCCGATAGGAACCAAGTTGTTTGGTAGAATGTTGCGAGGTCTCCTTTGCCTGAAACTTCTTCCGCTTCACTTGCCATAGCTTCATAATATTGTCTCTCGTCTTCCCTGGCATTTTTCTTTACTCTTTTGATTAGTGTATTGTAGCTTGCGTTCAAACCCTGTTTTTGTTGCTCGTCGATGCACTAGATAATCCTTTGTTTCACCATCCTTCCCTCTTCTATCAGTATCCTTGTGTCCATCGTGAGCCACTGTTTGTCCTGTCTCTTCTTTCTGCCTGAAACTTCCATGCAGGTTTGACTCCACACCGCTTTCAGGCTGTTTCAGTGCTTTTCAATGCTGGTCTCTTCGCTAGTGTTGACTTGTGTCTCCGCCCTTTTCCTTATGATTGCAGTGAAGATATCCTTTGTATCTGAATAACAAAGTAGAAATATTCAATGAGCTTATGATCATTTATTACGGTTGTTTTACTGCATTTCATATGATATTCTTAATAGCGCTGATTTGTAGGTGTCAAAGTATAAACGTGCAATTCAGAACTTTGTACTGTAATGTCAACAGTTATTTAGGTTTAATGCAGATTGTCTAGTTTCCTGTGGTTACACTGAATTTCGTATAAGCTGCCTCATATGGTTCAAGCTCGCTCACGAATTCAATTTAGTTAGAAAATCATTGAAAACGGAAAGGTACTGCACAGCCATTTTATCCTAGTTTCGGACACTTCATCAGTCTGCACCTGTGATCCTACCGGGAATCAAACCCAGCAACCTAGGATTCCATGAGATGAAATACTTTTTCTACCTGTGGAATAGAATGAATTTTAGTTATGAAGATCAGTGTTTATATATATATATATATATATATATATATTCACTCATTTTTCGTATACATGAACTTCACATATTTTAGATTCCCTGTATCTCCTTCTGACAATTGGTCTTGAGGTTGTGTATCTTATGTTAATTAGTGGACTTATTTCCAGGAATGTATATGACAGTAATCTAGATTATGATTCAGTTCGTTTCTTTTTTTCTGTATCATAAATATTCTTTCCACATATCTTATTCATCCCTAATAGCTTTACTTTTCTCTACATTTTAGTTTAAATATGCTTTTTAGTGGTATTTCGTGTGCCTAAGTATCTATCTAACACATTGATGAAAATTTTCAAGCTTGCTACATAGTCATTCTATATTCATATTTCATTTCCTGAAATCTCGAATTATCTGAGATATATCCATGAGAACAACAGATAATCCTGTCCTTTATTTCATCACTTCTTTTTCTCAACGTCAAACAATTTGGCCCATCTGTCTTCAATTTTTATGGTCTGTAAATTTCTCTTACCTTGAAGAATGCTTGTTTTCTCAGTTCTACTAAATAAGCACCTATTGTTTTCAATTTTACGTAATTAGAGAGAAATGAAGACCACGATCCAGCTAGAGCGAACCACTTATCACGTCCAAAACATCTAATTAGCTGAAACCCAGAAACAATATTATCAAAAGCCTTTGCAGACATTATCATCCTAGATTGTTATTCTATTACTCAACTTCAGCCGCGAATTTAGCCAACACATACTCAGATATTCAACAGTGGTCTAGTAGAAACATATTAAACTCTTTGCCTTTCCAGTGAATATTCAATCTCCTCTCTACTGTTTCACATCGTGCGATATAATCAACAAAGCGTTGCATGTGTCTTCACCTGCAACCTACAGTTTTATGCTGTTCTGACGAGAGATTTTAAAAGGCTGTTTACTTAATGTCACTAATCGTGGAAAAAATGCTGAGGTAAAATATTCAGATAGTCAACTCATTGGACACACAATCTAAACGTATATTTTCATTTCGACCAGCAAGCTAATATGATAGAACTAAACGGCACAAATGGTTCAGGTCTTATTCCTTCAACTTAGCTATTCATTAACTGTGAAGCTGCTGGTAAAACTCATACGCCTTTGGCTATATGTCTATGAGCTTTGAGGTTTAAAGCTGGTTTGTGCTGATATTGTATTTCATCAACCTAATTCATCTTCTCTGTATACTATGAATAGGCGTAAAGCATCAAAATAACTGGGATGCTTTTGTTTATTTGCTGGTGGAAATGTTTTCGTGGAGATTCAACTTACTTGACGAAAGCCATTTTAAGGTGAACGAGTGGCATGGCTACCTATGGCTAGGTCATTGTATAAAACTTGCTGGTTAAAATAGACTTCTAAAAATTCTAATATATTTTGTCTTATTTCATTTAGTAGTTGCTGAGCTTCCAACGGTTATTATTATTCCCTTCGG